GTTTAAAAGCATTCGTAATAATACCTAATCAATCCCGGCGCAAAAATTAAAAATGAAATTATTAATATGGAAAGGGCACGGCATGAGAATGCCATTAATAAACGACCTCCAATTTTATTTGCAAATATAAATGAATTGTTAAAGTTCCAGGACGGATATTTTTAAATTAATTACCATTATCTAACGATAAATTTAATATTAGCTATGTATTTTATACCCCACTGACGCCCGTTTTTCCAGATCTATACAGTCTTTAAAAGAAATAAAAAAAAATATTTTTTATCATCATTTCTAACTCAATCTTAACGAAGTACCGTCGAGCTTTCGTCTAGACGTCGATTTTTTTCGCGTTATTTAAATTTTTACCCACCTCGGTGTCGCGAGGCATTTAAATTTTATTTTTACGCAGAACGGGCATCGCATTCGATTTGCGCGATTCGCTTTTTGCCGCGTATTGTTAACTTTAACACCTCGTTAAATGGAATTTCGCTGATGTCCTCGATGCCTGCAAATGTATCCCCTGTCGGTAATAGAGTCTCTTGAAGACTGTTTACTGGATTTCCAGATCCGGCCTGGCTAATTGATCTAACTAATCTAAGCTATGCTATTTTTATTGCGGCCCTTTTTGGTGCTGTTAGAGGCATTCTCCTTGTAGGAGAGACCAGAATGCTTCAGTTCTTTTAGTGGAAGATTATCGGTCGAAGTGAATGTTATAAAAAGGAAAGAAGTATCCAAAACGGGATCTGAAGAAGATCAAACTGAAGAAAATTATAGAAGAATAAAATGAATTTAGGTACCTATTTTTAGAGAGTTGAGAAGTTGAAAGTAAAATATTATTGGTGGTGCGGAAAGTATGCCTCCACCATTTTTTTGAAAGTGTTCAATATTAATTTTAATTCGAGTTGAAAAAACATATTTGTGGATTATTTGGGAGTAGATAAAAAATATTTCGCGTCGAGTCCGCGCCTGCGAATGGCCGCCGGTCGTCGAAGAGCGCTGTCGAGCGTCTCTACGAGACGAAAACGAGCAAAAAGAACGACAATTACAAAAAGTTCCTTGTTCGTAAAGCACTTCCAGTAAAAGCGGTCGTACGAAAAATAACGAAATGCTTTAACGTAATTTTATAGAACAAAAATCAATGGGCAAAAGATCCGCGCAAATATTCAGAGTCCGACGAAATTCGAAGTATGTCCTTTAAAAGGTTGGTTCCGCTTAAAACTCAAAATGTATTGGGGATATTTGGCATTTCGTTGCGTAGCGGACGTTTTTACGCGTGCTTCGGGATATATTCGGTCCGTTGCTGAACCATGTTAATTATACTCGACTCCTTTGTCAGATGTCTCACTAATATGGATGCTGCTATAATGATCCGTATTAGAATTTCATTAATTTTTCAATTGTATCTATCTACCTATATTTCAAATTTGTACCTCATTGTCAGAAATACATTATTAATAGTACTACAGGTGAAACACCCTAAACTTGTAATTATACCCTATATTACCTACTCATAATTAAATTATTATGCTTTTAGTAAATAATCTAGTCCTCTAGTAGAGAAAATTCAGTATACCAAAATGCATTCAGTAAGTAGTAGGTACCAAATTAAACCTTCTATATTATTAAATAAAATTAACGTGTCAAAACGTAGAAATATGTAACGACGTGCCACCCAATTACCATCCATAAATTCGCCCAAAACAAATAAATAATCGACTAAATTTCTGTATAGCGTTTGGACGCGATCGCGAGCGCAAGTACCGGCGGATCGGGGCGATTCGGACGCGGCGCGAGCGGGTCGTACCGCGTGCACGATTAATAATAATCGGACTTACGCCTATATTAACGATAACCATCTGATGGTTATCGTTTCGGTTTAATTGCCGTCCGACGCGGCCACGGGTGCACCAGTAAACGCGAGACGAGACGCTCCGCGTACATGCAAGTACCAGTACAGCTGAAGAGCCCGCAGAGCTTGACCTACATCACTCGAGCACGCGTTCGCCGGCGAGTACTCGCTCGAAAACTCGCGCCAGGTGAATTTTTCGACGTGCGTTCGTATTTTTTGATTTTATGAAGCTCGCGGTCGAATGAACGTTCGACGATCGCCGAACTAATTATGATAATAATGCTGCATACATGTAGTACTTTCATAAAAATGTATAAGTATATCAACATAAAATACAGGAGAGTATCTTGTATACAAGAACTTGCCTCTACAATTGACTATCTTTAGGGGGTTTTGGATTTAATATTATAGCATATTTGGTACTATAAGATTATTCACAAAATTAGGTGTATATTTTTATTTTTGGTGGTTTCACTTTTATAGAGTCCCTGAGATTCCTCTGTGTTCAGATCAAACCAAGTGATTTCAAAATTAGTAGCACTTCTTTATATTCAATTTTCTTCATCTTTACCTCACTGATTTTTGAGATATAAAGAAAGTGGGAGTATAGAATTTTTAAAGGCGAATTTCAGGTTCTTTACAAATACAAAAAGTTCCCATCTCTAGGTATTGAAAGAGAGTTAAATAAAAGTATATCTACAGCGTCGGCCGATGGTGGCGATATCAAAGTTCATTATCGGTAGTCGGTAACGTACCTAATCAGGAACGATATCGTTTAATTGGTGCGTGAAGACTCGCTGGCCGCATCTAAATGGCAAATAGCGCCCATTGCGACAATCACAGAGTCGACTAATTAGCCCCATTATCAGCTAAGGACGCGATTTCATGGAACCATCGCGGCCGGACGACGTCCAATCACGGTGCGCGCAAATCGCGCGAAACTATTCCTGCGGCAATTATCTATCGACTTCGGGCCCTTCCTCTCGCGCTCCGGCTCTTCTCGAAAACGTCGCGTTCGCGTCGTTTAAGGTAAACCAACTGCCTTTCGATTTTTAATTGCGCTTCTCTCGGTTCGTGTTATCTAACAAAACGACCGGATGGGTTTTTATTTGAAACAATATCGTGTGTATCTGCTAGTATGGATGTACTATTACATTCATTATGCCGACAATATACAGATTGTCAATAAATATATTTTACGAATTTAATTTTAAGGGAAAATTAAAAATATTTAAAATCGTGTGAAAATATTGCTCAAATCGTCTATTCTAATCTGTAAATTGTTGTAAAATCGCCTAAAGTATTAAATTTCCTCAATTTTAAAAATTGGTTTACTATATCTGCAAAATGTTGTGTAATTGTTTGCCTAATCAACAAAATTTTTACAAACTTTGTTAAATATCGGTAAAATACTTGAAAACCTCAACGAAATTTCAAAATTTTATTTTAAATAGTGTCTGTTTTATCTGCAAAATGTTGTATAAACGCCTGCATAATCAAAAAATTTCCTATAAACTTTCCACAAACTCTCTTACGAAAATATCTGTTAAAAAAATAAAAATTCAAAAAAATTAAAAATTCAATAACACTTCTAAATTTTTTTCAAAAATTTGTATCTTTTAATTGTTGTAAAATCGCCTAAAATTTTATCAAATTACGTAATTTTTCTTTAAAAAATGCATGTGTAAAATATTCTACAATTAAACAATAAATTTTAGCTAAAACTCTGTTAAATTAGAACACCTGAAAAATTCAATTCAATTACTAATTTCTCAAAAATCGTCTAAATTTAATCTATAAAATATTGAAAAATTGCCTGAAAAAAACCAACAGTCTTCCTAAATTATCCTCAAAATTATGAACAGGATCATCTTAAACAATAAATTACAAATATGTAGATACACTTATAATATTAATCTAGTGAGATTCTCTATCATATAAAAATTGTCAATTTTCTATCCACCTTTGCATCACATCGTTTGAGATTTTTTTCCATCTCTTCGTTCGGCTAACGCTTCGCCGGAGGAGAGAAGAAGGACGTGACGCCGTCGACGAGTCGGGCGTCCTTTGGTGGCCGCGTCCTACCGGGAAACGAAAGAAAAACTCTCCGTTTCTCGTCGACTTCATCCGCTCAGGCATCCGCAGGATCGTTTCAGCACCGAAACGTCGACGGTTTTCGTCGCGCGCAAAAAGCCCACGTAAATTATCTCATTTTGCACGAACTCGGCGAGAGTTTAAGTGAAAATTGATCGAATTGTTTTGCGTAATTTCGATACCGGGAAACGATAAAGCGCCTTCGCCTAACGGCTTCGGCTTCTGGGAAGTTTTCAACTCTTCGGCAGGATTTCGTACTTTATCACGCGTTTTTATTATATACCTACCTTTTTTTATTCGCATTGATCTGATCAAATATATTGATTTCGTTATAAATTTCTTCCTTTAATCATTCACCAACTGTTCTTATTTATAATAAATTAATTACCGATTTAAAATGTTCGTGGTGTAGAGAATAATTTTTATAAAATGTGGGATAGATGGCCCGCTGCAAAGATGACTGGAATATTTACGCCGGGAGAGTGTTTGTGCGTGTGTGTACTGTTTATTATCGAACATTTCATTCAAGCGGAGCACCTGCTCCTTTTAACTCGTGCCTCGAATCTGAATTTAGTAAGGGTTTTCGAACTGATTAATTAATTATTACGGAAAAGGCCGTTCGCCCTGCGGCTACTCGTGTTGTATTTTTTTCGAGTTTAAGAGGCGCGTTTAAATCGGTTAACTGGATTTCCGTTAGGAATTTTGGCATACCAGCGGAATTAATTTTGTCGTTTATGCGGCAAGATGTTTTGGTTTTATGTTGAATTCTTGAGCGATGATGGGGAATTCGATTAACAAAGCTGTATTGAAATCAACATATATTTTCAAAATTTTACATACACAATTCGAAAAATACATCATAGTCCTTAGTTTAATCGAATTTTCATAAAAATCTTCGAATTTTTTTTATAAATAACAATGAAAGGCACCCTTACATTTTACAACCTGTATATGTACAAACAAACAAATATACAAAATTTCTCTTTGGTTTTGTTAAGCTGTACGAAGTTTTACTAACTATTTTCACACACATTTGAAAATATATTAGTAAAACTATTCTAAAAGTGCAATACTGGACAAGAGTGCAAAAATTTTTACAAGTTTTACATGCTAAAAAGGAAAAAAATGAACAAAATTAATTTCAAATATGTATCTGCACTTTTTTGGTAACAGTTACCTTTTACATTCAAAGATTAGGAAATAACTAACACAACTAGCAAAAATCAAAATAAAAATCCTTGCAATTTGTGTTTATAAAAGACTATAATTTCTTCTAAAATGTTTTAAAGACTCACACATTCCGATATCCTAATCCTTGATTTAACTACTTACAGACTAGACTGGTACTAAGTCCCGAAAACTCTATTTACAAAAACAGCACTGGCAACATCGTTATCGAAATAGGTATAGATATTTTTTACAATACATTAGGTTTAGGTATTTATGTAAATATGTACAACAAAAAAAATGTTCAACTAGTCGATATAATTTGTACAAACTAATTCTAAGCGTATGCTTTCTTTGCTTTGGTCATTTCTGGACGGACGTCGAATATAAACGCGATTAAATATGGCATCAAAATGGCCGATGAAATTATTGAATGGCAAACGCAAGACACGGGAATCACGTCTAGTTAATGGCACTTTCGATTCTACAAAGATTGTTCATAAACAATATGTAGGTAGTTTATTGTTCCAAGTCATTGCCTTGGAAATATGTTTTTGACACTGGATGGTATAAGTAAGTTTATGTCTTCTTCTTCTTTATCTTTAATTTTGTCTATAGTTTCTTTTATTTCGAGTTTACCCAATTTATAGTATCCTATACGTAGAGTTCTTCAGTTGTAAATGTTCCAGATCTTATGAACAATTATTTACCTCTTATATCTCATTGTTCCGCTTCACATTGGGTCTCCAAACGCCACTATTTCAACGATCTGATTTCTTCTAGGGACAGCGTGAATTCCACAAGTGGCTCGAGAAGCTCATTGAAGATGAAATTTTTTGAAAAACTGAAGTACCTACTTAAGAAAATTCCGTTTTAATTTCGGTCTTAACGTCGTCCGCGCCGATTTCGGTGGGTCTGTACAAACTGGATATGATGGACTCCGGCACGCTGGGATGCTGGGACTCCCTGTGTCGCCGCAAATCCACTTTCCTCTGGAAGGACTTGTCGCAGAGGCCGCAGGAGAACGGCTTGTAGCCGGTGTGTTTGCGCATGTGCGTGATGAGATTAGACGATTGGCTGAAGGCTTTCGAACACACTACGCACTTGTGCGGCTTTTCACCTGTAACAAGAGGATTTCGTTAGTTTTGATAGAGGATTTTTGCGGCTTCGACTCGGGGCGGAGGGAGGATATATCGGCTGACGTCTGGGGTGAGTATGGTTTCGATAAAAAAAACACCCTTCAGCTACTCAAATTTTTTATCATAAAAGAACTGCAGGATTGATAGTATAGTGTAAGTAATAGTATAAGAATTATTAAACTTTCTAATGACCTACAGTTGATTAAAAGCGAACTCTATAATAATTCACTCAATATACAATTGTAATAATATCACAATCCGATCTGTCGTAAACAAGAAGCAATTACACCGTGACATCCATTGTGCGCAATAGAAATAATAGAGTGTTCATCATTTAAAATAAACAACGAACGAGGATAACGGTTTCCGATAAATAATGCACAAGAACGAGACCGCGACGGGGCAATTACTAAATTATCAATTTGTTAAAAACGATATGCGAGTCCCGACCGTGATGAAGCGATGCAGATACAACGCCTAACAGCGTTTTCTACTAAAACATATTAACATGCCCCCTAAGGGAGTTTATTCGCGTCGAATAAAAGGCTTGTGGTACAAAAGTTCCTGATATCAATTTCAATTAGAAAACGCGCGATCAACGCCCAGAAAAACATTATAAAAGTTGAATGGATTTTTGTACACTTCAAATATGTTAGATGGATCTACGGATAGACTAGTTTGAAAAAGTAGTGAATGCATTAAAGTTTTGTAAGTATTTTTAAGGTATTTTTTTCATTGAATTTATTAATTTATTCAATTTCAAAGTGTTTTAATGTAACATAATTATTTGCCCATCCTAGACATTTCTTATCTTGGAATTTTCTTGAAGAAGTATACTTCTTCTGTAAGTTCTTTCTACTTATGTTGATATATTGTCAGTTCCTAACGCCTCTATGCACATTACCTGCTAGTGATTACTTCTGATGTATATACTCTAAAACCTATCAAAATCTCATTAATTAAATTTAAATGGGGATAAGCCGGCGTGCGTAACGCACGCATGACGGGCACGTGTCGCACAGGAAGCCGATGGAGAATCAGAGTTACACCCTCTAACGTCATCGTCAGCGTCAGCCGCTTAGTGGACTTCCGTTCGTGTCCTCTTTCATTTGCGTTCATCGCGTTGTTATCATTATATTAGCGAAGCACCACTGATGACATTGCCTCACCATGGTAACCCGAACTATGGTTATTACCAAGGGCGAAATTCGTATTATACGGCCGATTTTGTAATAATTTGTTAAAGTATCTTTCAACAGTCCCTTCGTTTCCTATAGACTTTTGGCTTTTCAATATAAATAAATTCTTCTTCATCAGACGAGCTTGAACTTGAAGTTTTGAAAGTACCTATAGGTATTCATCTCAGAAAACTTACAGAAAGTGTAACTTGAAAACATAACTTAAAGGTTTATTTAACTCAATTATTACATTACATCTATTAGAAGATCTATTAACGTTATAGTATCTTTAATATCCCCTTATGAAATCTGCCGTTATTGTTTCTGTAAAGTGATACTTCGAGAAGTAGTTGCGTTTAAAACATTTTGTGCGACTAAAGCGCGATTTTGTACACTATTCTCTGACACTTCCTGATTGTATATGTAACTGAGGAAGCCATAAACTACGCGAATATGATTATAAATTAGCTCTATCGCGGTATAAATCTGTACACAGCGAAATGAGATATTATCTATAATGGCTATAAAATTTCAACGCGGTGTACTATGCGAGCGAAGAGCGCGTCTATAAAAAATGTTATAAATAGTGTTACAATACGTTCATGAGATCCAGTCTTTATGGGCTTTCAACAGGAATATAGCGCGTATACTTGGAATATCAAAGCGGGAAAAAGTGGAGTAGGCGTATACAAAGGAATATAATTCGAGGGCTATTAGCTCAAACTAGTTGAATGCAGGTATCGAAAAAATCCAAACTAAAATAATCAACGTTACCTCACTAAATAATTTCTATCAATAGCTATCATTAAACACCAATTTTAACATAAAAAGGAACTTATCTAAACTGTTCACAATTTGTAACGATAAATCATTAATCGACAAATGCACATGCCCCAAAGTTTCCTATAATCGTAATGTATCTATAAGGACGTATCATTTGAAAGGTAGAAACACTTAAGATAGTTACTACAGTTTCAGTTTCAGTAATATTCCATGTGGAAATAACTCGTTTAGATATCAATAATTCACTGAAATTTAAACTTTGTTGGCGTAGTCCGTAATTTTGTTGGTCGGTTGATCGGCATTGGAACACGACATTTTGAGGTGAACGCACATGCAAAGCGGCTTTTTGTACAATAAATTAATTCGGTTTTTGTTCGTTGTAACGTGTTAAAACAGGTCTTTAAACTATTTGTTAATTAATTTGTTCAATTGTGCGCGGATGAAGCGGGTAATTTACAAGCGAATCCGATAGCAAAAAATTGTTTAGGAACAAGTAAGCAGGAATTTCATGACAAGTAATTATCATAACAGATGAAGATGTTCGATTGAATGATTTATTAACAGCTATTATTGTATAAAAAATTGATATTTTTAGGTAGGATTTAGTGCGTTTTTAGATAACAGCAGCGTATTGTATAATAATTATGTTTTTTCATCGAATTGCTTGTAATAAACGTCCAATTCACGTAAGTGCTCGGAATTACCTATTCCATTTATTTGCTTTCGTCCCTTACCGCAATATTGAAAACAAAACAAATTAAGATAATTATCGTACGTGTATTAACACGTCGGTTCGTTTTCAATGTAAACATAAGTAAACATTTTAGAAACGAATAAACACGATTTGTTTGGCTTGGGTACATGCGGACAATTCCTTTCGAATTGTTCAATTCAATTTGTCCGCTAATGTGATTGATTTGTCCGCGCATCAGCGCCGGCACAATCAACGTTTTTTTATTAATTATTAATGTTATTCGATAATTTTACCCTAGAAATATTATTTGAACTCACTGTAAAATTAATATATCAAAAAATGGCGGAGGAATTAGAGCATTTTCCAATATAATACACCTAATTTTAGTAGCAAAAGTATATCTCTAAAAACTTTTTGTATTTCTTATCACTTTTATTCTATCCACTAAATCCTAAATACCCATATTTAAATAGGTATAAAGCAGCTAAATTCAACTTATGATAGTAGTAAACTAAAACACTAGGTTTTTTTATTTGACGAATTTTCAGTAATTACAGCGCAATTAATAATAATTGCAACGAAAACCCGACGGTAATAATTTCGTTACGTGTATTCCAAGATAACCACTTCGGATATTAGTGGAAATGAAGAAATTGCGTCCGTGTTCTATTATTGCGTTCGGATGATATACGTCGGTAATTATATAAATTATAAAATAACATAAATAACCGTGACATAGTGACATATGGAGAAACGTTTACCGGACGAAAATATTGCGTTTTTCTATTGAATTACTGTATGAACATGCGATAATAAAAAATGTAATCTCATCGAATTTATTATTATTCGAAATGGGTTTTGAATAGCTGCGAGGACGTTAAAATCTCAATAAAAAATAATAGCGATTATTCAATAAGTTTATAGTCGCAATTGATGTTTACAGGGTACCTCTATTCGAAAATCTTTATCTACTTGCATTCTTTTAAGCCTGAATTACTATCAATTTACGACAAAGCCTATGCAGAGACTTCCACTTGAAAGGTATCAATCAAATCGAGCAAGCTCTACAGAATTAATGGGGCACTATCTTGGTAGCTTCTAATACTCCCCATTTGTCGAGTTAATTGTCACTTTATCGCGAACGCCAACCGCTAATTAATATTAACTCGGATAAAACTAATAGTAGTTGTTTCGCGATAGCCAGGAACAATTACTAAACAAGCACCACATAGAAAGGTAATTGTGGATCAGAAAGGTCGCCACTCGCAAGTCTACTTATTACTTTTTATAGGCGCACTGTCAATTATCATAATGTGTCTTGATTATATAGCTGGCATTAGGGCTTATTATCTTACGTGTTTTCATGGTTACACAGATATGAATATTCAAATTTTATTGCTCGAAAGCCATAAAACAATCCCGTTGGTACTGTTAGTTCTTATTGTTTAATAATTAATATGTTCCTTGAAATTCGCCAACTACAAGTAGTTGCAATTGCAGAAACTCTCGACGAAGAACCGTAAAGTATTTCTCTTATTTTCGCTTTATCTACGTTATTCTCGACTACGCGAGGATATTAGGGATGAAAATTGCGGGATATAAACTCAATACTATTCTCCGAAACTCATATACTTTCACCGGAACCCATCTACTCGCGCCATCAATTTTCACACAGCGCATTCGGTGGGTTATTCACGCGCGATTTGGCCCATCGCCGTGCAAAAAACATCGGCTGCACCAGCGTCAGCATTTGCATTTCGTGCATATAACGGGCGGTATGCGACGGGCGTCACGCAACACACACTTTCGAGTCCGCACGCACCTCGTCGGGCACATCCCGTTAGAATCGGGCTGCACCCCTGCTAGAAATAAATTTTTAATCGCCTTCCGCAAATCATGGGAACCCCGCGCCAGCTCGATCGCCCGGTGATCTTCTATACTGCGAATTAAATGAAAATATGTGTCTGAAACTGCTACAGAATTTACTGAAAAGTGTTGTGTAAAGTATTGAAAAGTTGGTATAGAATATACAAAAATAAATTCTCTTTGTTCTACTGGTATTTGGAGGGAGGGGACGAAAATAATTTCCATAACTATACCTCTTTAATCGACAATTAATTATTAAAAAGACTTCCTAATAAGTGAGCCATATCCCGGCTGCGAACAACTTTACAATTACTAAACTCATTAATGAATAAATCTCATAGATAGTCGATTTTTTCGGGGTATAATTAAAACTCCTGGCTAGTTGTTCGTATCGACGAATCGATTCGTGCAAAACGTGTTCTTTTGGATTTCTTTCTGCGTCCGAACGAAATCGCTTTTAATTATTTAAGTGGAAATTATACGCCGCCAGGAAAAATCTGAAGACCGCGAAATTGGAAGGCTTGAAAATTTCATTCGAATCAATTTTCTTTCAATAAATAATTGGAGCCGGGCCCGATAAGTTGGCGGCGGCGGCCGTTCCAGATGCATTGCTATTTGCGCGAATGCAAATTGAATTTTGCATGCTCGATTCTATCGATTGGCGGGTCACAAGACATGTTTGTTCCTTCCCTTCGGGCAAATCGGTATTGTTAATTAATTAAAATAAATAATTGAGCGCAAAAAGAATGTAGGTAAGTATCGATTCGAATGTTTTGAGTTCTGAGAAAAATACGGAATAATACCTGATTTGCAGTTGTAATATATTATCTGGCGGGTAATAGTAGGTGTAGTGTTAATACTAAATGAAGCGAGAAGCTAGTGTTTATTAAAGGAACTGGAGAATATTTTTTTTAATAGACGAGAGCTAGTCCACGTTAGATTAAAAATGATTTATGCGAAAATTACCTATAGGAAAACGTTTTATGTTGTACGAATATTCACTGAACGTCAATCACAACGTGAATTTTAATTTCTCAATGGATCGAAGAAATATGTATATGCGGTTTTAACGACTAATCTGAGTCATAACCATTGTCTGGAAGTCGTACGGCACGTCGAAGGAGCAATGCAAATATCCTCCCGGTTGTAACCGTTACAGGACCGTCCTTTCATTTTTTTACAAGAAAAACTTATTCTATCTCTGCAATATTACTCTACAATTACACCAAAAAAATGTAGCTATTTTATATATAATAATGTAAACTATTTTCGGTACACAGAACATTAATTAACATGAATTAATAATATAGGTTCTTCATTTTGAAAATTGTGCAATGTGTTCTGTACAATTAATCTTTAAGGAATCCTAAAATTTGGGCAATCCTGATAAGCCTTGTAATATTCTAATATATTCTAAGGACTTTATGTCGCAGGAACACGCTACAGATATTTTATACAGGTAGTAAAAACGGCCCTGGAGATCGGCAATTTCTCCGTACGTTCCAATCACGGAAACGACACCCGTATTGTATGTTTATTTATTATCGTTCTCCTTTTTGCGGAATACGTTATTACTTATCTTTCATTTCGCGATCGTCCGACCACGCATTAATCAAATCCAGCCAAGAGACGAGCGCTGGGCGAAAGGAAGTGACTACGTTCACCGCCCGACGGACGGATAACCGCCTCGTTTTACCAACAACTTCAATGTACCAACAAGAACTGGACTGAGCTTTTTCATTTTCACGCTCCAACGATAGGCTTAATTTCAGAAATAATCTGTGGTCTTATTAATTGTTAAATTACTATAAAATAAAAAGTATGTGTAGGTATAATTCAATTTACTTTTGCCCTTATTTCCTTAAATATTTCGTCTTGATTTTATGGAAGTTTATATTGAGACGTAACCAAGCGAGTAATGAAGCTATTCGACTGGAAAATATATCCATCAAATCATCACTTGTTGGAACATGAGCACATTTGTATGCAATCGAAACTGGCCGCTAATTAATTCCTCAAAGATTCGTTATTGGGCCGGTCGCGAGCCCGTTATACGCGGAGGTTTTGCTGCTGTTGAATACATTAAAACGAATCGGAAAAAACGGCGATAAATAAAAGAAATAAGTGCTATATTAGTAGTTCGAATCGCTCTTGATTGGTGACCGATGACCGTCGAAACAGGCCGGAAAAATGCAAAATAAGCCTGCAATCAAAGTCACATTCACATGTCGAAGGTAATGCCCGCATACAAGCGAGTGACTACAGAAGAACGAGCAGATAAACGCTTGGCCTTGTCACATTTCGTTTCGTTAACCGAGCCATAAATATTTTTTCTGTTTCTTAATCACCGAAGTGAACCCGTAGGTACTTGTATATTTCATCAAATCATGCAATACTGCAGGGTGAGCGAACTAGTGGATTTGGGTAAAAATTGAGGCTGGAATAATTGTAATTAGTACGCACCTGTGTGTATGTAGGTGTGTTTCTTCATATCCGATTTTTGATGGAACCTCTTGCCGCAGTACTGGCACGGGTACGGCCTCGTGTCCGAGTGAATGAGCAGGTGGGTGGAGAGGGTGGAGGAGCGTTTGAACGATTTACCGCATTGCTGGCACTGAAACAATCAATTTTAATCGTAAATTAGGCAAGTATCGCAACCGATGTTATTAATATATTGCATTGTGGCGCCCGCATTAATTCATAATTGCGTATAGTCATACGAACAATAGACGATTAGCGTTATAGGAGAGAAGGTATTTAAGCTATTTAAGAAGGTGTTTCTGTTTTACATTAGCCTTAGTTCGTTTAGACGAGTAAAGTAAATTGTACTAGTGAATAAATAAAATATACGGTGTTTCGATATAGATAATGTATACAATTTCGTAATAATGAGACAAACTGTATATAGTATCTTCGTCTCTGTTTACAGATACCTAATTAGGAGCAATTATAAATATAGCCCTCGTAAATTGCAACGTTTTTCCTGAATAATTTGTCGAAAAACAATTAAAAACGATCAGTAATATTTCCGTTTACTCACGAAACATCTTTAATTTCAACCTTCTTTCAATCACCGGGGACTATAATTACCGTCCAGCGACGAAAAAAAGTCATTAATACTTTAAACTTCGGCGGGTATAAGAGGTTTTTTTCCTCGTGAATTATATATTGGAAATAATTGCTTTCATTTAGAATTTTTACTATTTTTTCGGAAATATGTAAGCACCGAAATACGAAATCGATGATATCTGATGGTAATTACAGGGACGTAATGTCCCTACCGTGCAATTAATGCGCCTCTATTTACCGTTCGTATTATTCGGCTTTTTTTTAAGTGATTATTGTAATTGATATCGAGTTTGACAATTTATTTGTCAATAAAAACGGAAGGAAAATCACTTGTAATAAATACGAAAAAAAAACCTCCACGTTCGTAACGGAAATTACGGTTTTGTATGGTCGATTTGTATTATGATATCGCTTCGTGCAATATTAATGGGATTTATTTCGAGTGTAGAGCTGTTAGGGGTTTGTTCTATTACGAAAATTAAAATGGAAGGTTGTGTTCGATTTACCTCTATACTTGCATTAAAAATATCTCGTCTTTATTAGAAATATGTTGTTTTATTTCCAATAAGAACAATTATTGACGTAAATTATGCTTCAGTGAGTATATTAATTAAATGAATTAAGTATACAAAAATAGAGAGAGAAATTAGTGAATTATATTAAGGTTGAACCCTTCATATGAGCAATCAATTAATAAAAAAAGGTAATAAATTAAAGTACAAATGAAGTTATAAATAAAAACTCTTTGGGAATACTTCATTTATAATTGAGCCATAAATTTGTGAATTTCTGTGTGGAGCAAGCAAATGATCTGCAAATTCAAATTGCAAAGTTTTGTTACATTAGCATTGCAGGATAAATCGTAGGTATACTTTATGCCATTACAGAACATGGTAGAATACAATTAGTTGAATTAAGACAATACTAGTTTTCAAATCCGATCATGCTATAAAGCATAAAACTTGAACATTATTCTCCGATTACTTATGAATAAGGCTTTACGAGGACCGGCTTTAACGCAAAGGGACTAAATACTGTAGAAGCATTCCAGCGTGATTAGTAAAATATTTTAATAATCCAACATTAGTATTCGTTGAGGTCATTTACGTAATAAAATTGCATTAAAAATTGAATTCGACATTTATAGTGGATAATTTCGTGAACCTAACAAAAGTCGGTTCTGTGCCCACCAATAATTATAGTGGAAATAATTGATTCTTGTGGGTAAAAGACAATCGTAATCGATACAAAGTAGTTTAAGTCATGAAACTTAATAAAATATTGAGCATGTTAAACGAGAAGAAATATATGCTTAGATTTAATGAGTACTATTTTACGATTAAATCGAAGTGCATTATTTATGGAAACATTAGTAGAAGAAACGAGAACGATCGTTACTTTGTCCGGCTCTACTATGATTTTACAAACGACGTTATAGCTCGTTTGATGTCATTAGTACGACGGTTTCGAATTTCCCGTCGATATTTTCATTTCACAAAGCTTTTCATTTAATAGATCGCTTTTTTTCTTCGACGACAAATCGTTGTTATAATCTTTGCTCGCTTTAATTATTAAATAAATTTACAAGTGGATTTGTATCGTTAGAATGATGGCTATTCTCAACAATCATTTAACCTGGAAGCTTTTTGAGCATTCGTGATTATATCCATTAAAAACTAAATGAAAAATTCAGTTGTGTTTTGCATAGTGACATCATGTCATATTATAATAGATAAATCCCGACTATGAAAGATTTAAAAAAGGTAATATAAGCTCCTCTAATAGCTTCATACAATGGACAATAATTATCTAAATAAGTCGTAATTATTAATTTATTATGAATAGTATTTAGTAATTGCGAAATTGATTATATTGACATCAAACGTTTATTACCTTATTAAAAAAACCAAAACCCATTTCAATATAGCATTGAAGTTGACGTTAGATCAATGCAAATTATAAAACTGTTACGCATACTTCGTATATTTAGCAATTTGAGAACTTCATCACGAGAATAAACCTACTTAAACGACTGGAAATCTGATTTAAAAAGGGAATAAACAGATTTCCCATCAGTATAATAAGAATAAGAAGACCTACTCGTGCTAATCCAATTTATTATGTACTTCTAGGGTGAGATTATCTCGTTCAGTTATGTAGGTACTATTTTTACTCACCGTAAATTGTTTCTCTCCCGATGGTCCTAAGGTCGGTACTCTAGCGTGGATCTCCCTCTCGTTATCCCATTTCCATCGATTTTCCGCTTTTACCGGATTAATTACGGTCGTCGATGATACACTAGAATCCGGTCGAATTGCCATCGTTTTCATTTCTTGCTCGCACAAACTGCCAGGTGACCAGATGCTGTGCGTCCGCGAACGCCCTTTGAGGGACAAATTGAGAGGCGCATCTTCATCTGGAGAATACAAAAAAATCTATAGAAGTACTTTTAAAAGAAGAAAAATCTAGAAAATGGTAAATAGGGCGAAAAGGAAAATTTTAATCAATACGAAAAACATTGTTTTTAATAGGTAATTACATTTTCGTGGCATTATTATCTTTTGTGATATTACAGTCGTTTGTATATAACATGTAGGAACTCAATTTTTTATAAATATCAGTGATAAAGCTGGAAGCTTCCGTAATATCCCTAATTAGTCATTAAAAAACACGGCCCTTTATAATAACGATTAGAATAGTAAATAATTGGACTGATAAGTTTAAAAAGCTTCGAAGTAAAAGTTGGAGGAAAATTGTAGAATGTAGGCGAACAATACGAATTTTTTTTATCTATTTTCCAGTATATTTAGCTATTAGCGAGTCGCGATTGTCCTTGAGCGATAAGGGTTTCGCCGTGGAAATATTCACCTCAATCGCAAAATTTTTCAAATAGCTTCGATAAAACTTAAGTACGGATAATTGACTATTTTACTTTGGTTTGTCTTTGGAAAAAAAGCGGTTTGACATATTTATGGTAATTAGGCAGTAAATGCGAAAATTTATTCCAAATAATTAAACGGCTTTGCGATAATAACATAACTACGCAATCGGTACAAAATTTTGGTTCATACCTTGTGTTGTTTTCTCCACGAAACAACCTTTGTCCAAGGACGTCGATGGATCGGGACTCAGAGATTCCGGTCTGTTCGCAGGAGAGTACGGTAGAAATAATCCTGATATCGGATGCCACATGTAGGACGGGTAAGGAGTATTGACTAAATGATTCAAGGAATTCGCGTACATTAAGGCACTCATTCCTGCAATTAAAAAAAGATTCGATTTAGAGAGAACTTTAAACATACAATACCTAGTAAAAAATTGCTTCATTTATTGCAAAAACGACTGTGCATTAGTGTAATTCACCTGCAACTACTGAATTTGAACGAACAGACTTGCCGCCAAGAGGCCATAAAAAATCACTTCCAACTGTATAAGCGAACGCGCAAGAAAATTAACAATTTACGTTTGCATATACGTAATTATTAACGTATTTATTTACTTATTTCCTTTAACGGCATTCAATTACTTTTCTTCTACGGACAAAAACCGAAGCTTTTTCGAAATTCGAAATTAAATCGTCGTGCTTTTATTGCTGTTTTTTTAATTAAAAAGTAGCGTTAATTTTCTTCGCGAAGGAAAAAAAAATTAACACTCTCGACATTTCATTTTGCATATGCAATACAACAGGCTCATTTCCTATACTTTTCTCTATAGGAATCCATTATGATTTCATGACAATATATGCAAAAAAATCAAATTATATTATAATTGAAATTTAGATTTCAAAATTACTGAAATATCGTGATAAACGGACTCACCATTCACAGTTAAATAATTCTTGTCTCTATTGAAATATTTGGGATAAACTAAAGAGAAGGCGCTATGCCTGGAGGCTGCGACAGGCGATCGAGGAGAGGACGGGCTGATGCTCCTCGAGGAAATTCCTGCAATTGGACTACTAGCAGGACTGCACGGCGACCGGGGAGGCGTTTCACCCGGTACGCCGTAATGCGACATTAACGCACAACGAGGCATTCTGAAATAAAAAAAAAACCTTTACTAAAAATGCATTTTTATCCTTTTATTATAAAGAAATAAAGAAATAAGTATAGTAGTATATACTGTTTTATTTTAAAAGAATCTATGTAAAATGTAAGTAATATAAGTAAGATATTGTATAAATTTTGTTCTTCATAGCATGTATAAATTGTACCTATTTTAATTGAATTGTTTTAATTTAAGGGAACTCAGGCAAAAGAACACAGAAATTTAACAATGCAAAATCTATTTAGGATCGAGCTTGAATAAAGGATTTAAATTCTTTAAAATAAATAATATCAACAAAACAATTTTAAGCATCTAGCTTCACCAAACGGTGCTCAGTATAAATAATGAATATTTCCTGTATAATATAATAGTATTTTTTGTATTTACAAACTGCATGTTTGTATAAAAATCACGCTCTCTTTCAATCGATCGATATTCGTTACAAACATCGAAATTCAATTAAAACAAAAAGCGCCATTTCTGCTGTTATTACACATTTACCCGTAACGAAATTATCCATTCCATTAAAAAGCGTTATTTACCGAATCGCGCTCCCCCTGTTTACAATAATATACCATCCGAGCAATTACGGTTGACAATCTCGGTGATCAATAGAGTAAATCAACGGGAATCGCGTGATCACGCCTCAAACCCCATATACCCCCGGACTACATACACTTCCTGATGACCGACGATGAGCATGGGACCTTACGATCCCTCATCGATGTCTTTCTATACACCCCCTGTTCGAACATCCATTTGGTTTTATTCATTTCCTGCTGGTCTTATTGCTTGTTTTAAAAATTGTGTAAAAAGGCAAATTTTATATTCATATATTGTTCACCTTATACAATCAATATTTTTAGAAAATTAGTGTTAAATTTGAGCTCCTCATTAAAAATGATAAATTCAAATACACTGAAATATCTCATATTATATACTGTGCATATGTATTAGTAAGGATTAGGTACATTAATTATATTTTTACAATTAAGTCGTAAATACCGTAATTATTATAACTAATGGACTTGCTAATAACAATTTTGACGATTTGAAAATTTGGCGTAACAAATGCGAAAATATGCCAAGACGAAACATCGAAATATTCATAGGCATTATAATTATCTAATAGTTAAATAATTTATTAAATTCATTAATTAAATGCTTGTAACATAGGCTCTAATAGTAAAGTGAAATTAGTGAAATTAATTTTTTGTTGGTGAATCAGGTTTTGGTGGTTTATGGTGGCCAAAATCTTAAGAATTATGCATTTAACTTTGCCATATGTTGTAACACCCTGTATATGATAGTTACTTTTAGTATATAGGTAGTATACCTATACATTTAGGTACCTATGTACATATTTTAAGACTCTTTCTATAGGCCTTTGAAACAAATCATAATTTTAAGAATAGGTAAGTTTTTGGTAGAAATTTTGAATAAGTTTAATTATGAAAATAGGTATATTGTACTTAAATATCATACGGCAAAAACTAAATTATTTTCGAATTATTACCGGTTTCATTATACCGTTAGCAAAAGCAATATTTCTATGACGGAACGATAATATTTAAACAATAAAATATTTATGATTATTATTCGAATTAAAATTACTGGTTTCGAATATAAATTATTGATTTTACAATTAAACTAATGTCTTATTACACAGAGGAAAAGTGAATCTTAATTTGTTCTTTCAGTAATGTAGGTCGACAGTCGATCGGGTAAACGAACGAATTCAATAAAGTCTTTAAAAATTAATCCGATGAATATTTTAATTAAAAATTGTTAATAAAAATCACTGATGGTAAAATAGGATTTTCAAATTTTTATAAATAGTACCTTATGCCACGTTAGCTACAGGTATTATATGTAGATGCAATTTTTTTCAATATTGGCGAAGGGTATATAATTTCAATTTATATAATTTCAGAAGAGAATTCCATTTTAAAGTTCAAGAGGTACAGAATAAAATCAGATGAACTTAATATGTAAGGATAAACTAATAAATTTGATGTGCATTAAAACCTCTGATGACATCTAATCCTGTTGTAATTTATCTATCTTACTTAAACGACATATCTTTTTTAAAATTAATACACAAACTTACTAGTTTATAATCAAACTTTTTCGCACTGATTAAAAGCCCATCAACATCACTTTTATCATTCATTTAACAACTCAATATACGAAACAGTCGGATACCCAAACAACTCACTCCCAAATAAAATAATACAAATCACCTCCGGTTCGCCCGAATCGAAAAAAAAAAAGCGATAAGAGAAGAAAAGATTTCCTTCCTCCGCAAGCGATCCCGGAAGCAGCGCTATCGACGCACCACGTATGACATTTACCACCTGACTGAATTCCTCGGTCCGTTTTCCAGGTATGAGATAGGACGCGGGCGCCCCACCAGGTGAGCGGCGACCACGTGCTGCGCCCGGCCCCGCCCGCCCCGGCGACGTCGCCGCCGGATTGGCCGGCGCTGCGGCCGCCTAGCCACTCGCAGGGGGAGCCCCGGCTCTTAATTAAGCCGCCGGCCGCGCCGGCTAATTGCCGGACTGATTTGCCGCCGGATTTCGCCGGATTTTCGCGCCGAGGAGGCGGCGCGACGGGCGTCGGGGGCCGGAGGCGTCGGTTTGTTTGACCCGCGTGATCGGGTTTCATCAGATTTCGATCAGATTGTACTTTACTTGAATTTTTCTATTATGTGTACACGAAGGTAATTTCAAGTTTAAGAAAAGTGTGCAAATCTTTTGAAATAATCATGAAAGTATTAAACTAAAAACAGAATTTTTATCAGTTTAGAAGTATGTAAAATAAATATTCACCAAAATCAAACTACAAATCAATTTACAATACATGTTTTACCTTTTTACACTCAACAAAGGAGACCAATAATTGTTTTTATCTTTATTAAACAAATTACATCATAAAAAATCGAAATAACCGAGTGAAAAATTGAACAAGTCAAGCTCCCGGAGCGGGAGAAAGATATTTTTTAAGCAAATTGCATACGTTCTATGCGGTTCTATTTCTACACGGATATACCCATCCATATAAAAAGTAATATTATAAAAATTTAAATACTTCCATTAATTTTTCGAAACCTCTAATCTATGCATAACTAATGACCCGTCCATTAAGTAATTAATTGAAAGACGCGCAGTAAATGGTAAATTACTAATTTAATTATACAACGAAAAAATCTATTAGGAACTTTTCCGTGCGGCCGTTTCGTTAACAGCTGAATCATCGAGTCCTCAATTTATTCAATTGAATGCCTAGTTTTTAATCTTTATACACTCGCGTCAACTTTAAGGTGATAACATAAATAACGCGCGACGTTAAAATCTAATAAAACTAATGGGTTCGCATTCGAAATTCGTTCTGTAATAAATTTTATTTTAGCTTTAGTACTGATTAAGGGCTGATGGAGATTAGAATGTTCTTATCAGTCCAAACGTTGTTAATTGTAGGTAATGCGGTTATTTTTTTAATTAGTTTGCATAATTTTAGATAAGTAAATGTAGATACTAATTGATTTTTTGTCTAAGTTAAATGTTAAGGACATTTTGATTAAATCTATATTGTTTTAAAATTGTATATCTATAGAGTAACTGTGCATGATGGTTTGTTATAGAAAAGTATTGCTTTTTGAATAGAATTTAGTGAGCTATAAATACTAGATACTACATTTAGTTTAATTAATGTTATAAATGATTATTTATTATATGTCTAGTGTTTTTATTGTTAAATTCAGGTATTTATGAATCATCGAGGAGAAATAATTATTACATGTAGTGTGGTGTGTGGAGCAACCGAAGCAGAATGAAGACCGTTGAAGACGTGCCATCAACTAACACATGGCACGTGTACGTGCTCACCTACTGTGACAATTTTGTTTACCCCCGGTGTTGCGGTTCGGCTCCGGTGACGTCTTCGACGGCGCCCCCCGTCCTCCGGCTCTTTCGGCCCGATCAATCGGGGAAAATTTAACCTCGGTACCCGGAAAAAGGGTCGGCGTAAAATCATTATTCAAATTAATATAAACGTGCATATGATGAGCTTTCGGTTCCACGGGGAATGGTTCATTTTAAGTATGTTTGTAGCAGTTGAAGATTGTATTGGGTATAGGGCATAATTAAGTTGGGAAAAAAGTTGCAAATTTCTCACAAACTAAGCCGTCATAAAATACTTTACCTGCAGACAAAAGAATCTGCAATTTACCGGACACCCTTTATAAACAACACACTTCCTTCCTTCCAAGTTTTCTTGTCCTCATTCACTCAGAGTGTATTTAAACAGTACATACTGCATTATTTATCTGTGGACAGAACGGTTTTCGTCGATTTATTAAGCCGATTTGTTCGTATAATGGAGCAACAGTCGATCAGTCGTTGTTGGTAAATTTTCTTGCTTTTTTTTAAAGAAGATAAATTAACTTTTACTAGGCCAAAAGTTGAACAATCATCGACGAATTCGCCTTCGTTTTGTACGTTATCATCGGCTAACGGCAGCGTTTTTTCGCCGAAACGAAATTACATTGTCAACTGAATTAACTTCGTATATAGTAAATACCAACATACTTTTTTTACTGGAGGTTTTTTATTGCGAATTAAGATAATAAGCATAAAATGTGGATTGTACGTATTATAGGTACTTACTTACCTGAAGAGTATTTTAAATTTATAACTCGTGCTTATAAACAGTGGTGGAGATTGATATTTTCATTGCCTAATGCTTATCAATCATGCTAAAAATCACTTGTCTTGGATCCTCTCTATTCACTTCTCATTGGTTATCCCAATTCCATTTGTTCCTTCATAACCCTTTGATATTTTTAACATTCTTATATATTAAAGAATAGATACGATTTGAGTGAAAGATAGAGACATAAATGTTAACAGGATTAGATATTATTATACAATGACGCCGCTGCCCGATCGCTCCAATTAATCCTCATTACGAGATTACGATCGCAAGAAGCGACTCTGATTCCGCTAGATTGTTGCTCTACAAAAGCAATTTCGGTGCAGGCTCGCTCGAATTCCGGTTTCTCGAGGTTCGATAAAAGCATCCCGACACCCAGCGGAGGCAGATGGCAGCGGAATACTTCGACTTATTAACTTTTTTAAAAAAATTCCCTTCTTTATTATCGCTGTTAATTCTGCGTTGAAGCGGAACTTATTATTTCGATGTCGGACGACTTTTTTTTTTCGGCTGTTCCTGTGGGTTTTTCGGCGATTCGACGCGTGCGAGCTTCCAACAAAGATTATTTAACGGTCGCGAACGGTCGTTTACTTAAAACAATCCGCAAAGGCCGGAGATTTGATGATGATGTGGCTTTTTGCGCGGGTTTATACCTGTGTAATCGGCGTTCGCACTTTGTCGGTAACTTAGTGGCAAAAGGTGGTTCAAGATTGGTCTTAAATACACCATTATTTTTTTTCGCAAAAGTCATTTAACCGTCAATTAATAAAACAATATTTTATTTGTACCATTTTGAACTTTTTATCGTACATTACTGCTAAAAAATTGATTGATTTTTCTGCTAAGAAACAAATTAAATTCTATCAATATTTGTGTACATTCCCTCTAGAATTATCACATACAATTTATGAGATATTTCTTGGGAGTTCATCAGACGCGGCTGTTTGTTACATCCACCGATAAATCTACCCTTTTCACTTTGCCTATACTACCACTTTCACCTATATATTTTCTTACCTGAGATACTGAAGCCAGACAAAAGTAAAAATGAATCTGTTGTAGGTCGTTAAAAAAAGGAAATTTAGTCAGAGGCGCGGATAGAAATTCAAATTTTGATTCAATTCAAGTTTTATGATTCTAACTTACATCTCCTCTTATTTGCTTGGGCAATTGTATATGTTACACCACAGGAATCCAATCAGATTTTTACTAGCGAATATTAATAAGGATCATTCAACAATCCTATAAGTTATGAGTAATATAATAGGTACATTATTAACATTTTTTTTAATATTGTCGCTTTAAAAATATTTTCATTAATTATTAAAAAATAAACATAGCCTTTCTACAGATAAATCAAATATAGTACGCCTATGTTTCGAAATTAGCAGCAGATGGCACGTGGAATTCAAATATTTTATTTTTTATTTAGTTTATCTATTTTTTATCGTTATTTTTTAGTTGGAAACATCAGTTTTTTGTGCACGTTCTAACGGTAACATGCGTAGATTTAACATAATTCCAGTTACGTTTCGTTAATTCCTCTGCAATTACATTTTTAATAAAATGTTTGAAAAAAATATTCTTCGCATTGCTGCTTTTGTAATTACACGATTTATCGGCTTGTTTTGCGGGCTAATTCAGGTAGTAATTAAGCGTGTATACTAAATCACCTATTAATTTAATAACATAACGAGTGTATCATTGCAACGAGATGCAATTAAAAACGAGTTCTTTGTCCGAGATTTGTATTTAAGATCAGAAATTAGTTCACCATTATTGTCGATCAATTACGACCGGTACAAGAAATTGAACCGCATGTCACATGCGGGTAATTATCCCCCCGACAAAAAAATAATAATAAAATCCAAAGAGATGTGCAATCTACGACTTTGCACCTGCATCGATCTATCCAGTGGCAAGAAGTGTCGATGAAAGAATTGCCGCAAAAAAATCAAGTGGAACCAAATACAGCCGACATGCGACAGAAAAAAAATTTCTTATCACGTTAACAGAGCTTATTGTCGGTGTATTATATCCCTTCTAGAACAATACAAACTCCGAAGAAAGACACCAATATAACGGTCGAAAATCGCACCGATTGCTCGCCTAATCTACCTGCCCGAATCGCCACCGCTCCTAACGGTACACATGCCTCTCGAAATCGCCGATCAATCAGTCACAACCGAAATTCACTTTTATTCATCCTTCGCCGGGGAATATAACAGTACCTTCCGGAATGGCGGAGCCGACAGCCGCAGTCCACTGGCCCAATATCATCCAGGCATGCCAACGTTACGCAAGGTGATGCGATGACCCTCCGCGTAGGGCCCGTCGACTCCTAAGCGGGCTCGTCTGCCTCCACTGTCTGTCTTTTCTGCAGTCTGTGCATATGTGGAGTCACTGATTCGGTGCCGCATCGACTGCTCTCGTTTCTTCCCATTTACTCTCCCATATTCTCTATTCCATTCAATTTTTTTTAGACACTTTTAGATGCAGTGTATTGGCAACTGCAGAGATGAACTGTAAAGTAGATTAGACATAAAATACGCGATGAAAGAGTAATTTGTGGTGGACGATTTTGGGCCGATTAGCAGGGGATTTAGGAGGGAAATCGCGGTGCAGTCGGGGCGATGCCGGGTTTTAGACGTCGACCACG